AACTAAAGCAAATTGCACACTAAATAGCGTTACTGAACAAAACGTTATCCAAGCAAGTATCAAAGATGGTTTTCCGACTGATTAACATACAGCACCAATGTGAAGTAGGACACTTAAATGAATCTTTGTGTCTGAAGCACAAAGGGCTCAGTAATTAAATGCAAAAGGTCTAAAAGATATTCATGTAACTTGCGAACTCACCCACTCGCCGTATTTGAAGACACTGCAGCTACAGGGTGTCGGCATTTCAGGTGCTCGTGTATTGCCGTAGTGCTGCCATGAAAGGAGAGTGTGACTTCACACGGTTTTCACTTAACGTGTTTCGCCAATTTGTTTTCGATAAAATGTTCCCAAACGTTGGAAGCCCTGGGTCGTCTTTTTTCGAGCATCCTCCGTGCTTTCTGCCATTATTCATGTGTACTTCTTCTCCGTTTCTGTGAATAATGTTACAATTGGGAGCGATACTGCCCCCACCACTTCCTGCACTGCATGTCTGTACCATCACCATGGAAGAATCAGGGTTAGGCTTTCCAAACAACACATCAGAAGCACTGGATTTCTACATGTCATTGAGGGATGTTATCCGTCCCCAATTGTTTGAGTAGTATTTTGTGTTGTGTCTCTCTGTCTATGTGTAAGTGGGGAGAGGTTCCCTATCCCACCATGTCTGTCGAGAGAGGAGTGGACACTGGCGTGCCCCTCTCTCCAATCATAATCATTTGAATAACATTTTTGTAAACATTTTGTAGTTTTAGAAATACTGTATATAATATAACATTCAATTCTTTACATACACCTTGTAACTTGTATGAAGATTTACATGCCTTTGCAACTTTCTTAACTGACTGAATCTTTCCCTGCAAGTGTTGCAGAGGTACAGTTTCTCACCTGTGTGAGTTGTCATATGATTCCTAAGAATTCAGTAGTAGTATTTTTTGTTACTGAGTGACACATTGTCCATTCAAAATAGTCTATTTGTCATAAATATATTCTTTAATAAGTTCTGATCAGTATAGGTGAGGAATACAGTAAGTAAATGTGTAAACCATTGTTTTGTGAATGTATAGCATGACAGTTTGTTGCTGAATGTTGCCTATAGCAGCTTTTAAGGAAATATAAGAAAATGGGAACAATGAAGGCTAATGGTAATTTCATTTATTTAAGTACTTTCCTTGAAAAGTAACTGCTGCTTCAGTTGCTGTGACTTCACACCTGTAACATGCAGCTATGTATTACTGTAAGACTTTGAGTTGACTTGTCTACCTCTGGGTTTGTCACTGTATAATGTGTTTCAAACTTTTTATTTCATTAATAAAACGTGTAATTACTATACATGTACCCTTACCTTTCTTTTGCTTTACCTTATATGTAGACACAAGCACCTGCATTGTTTTAATCACATCAGAGTTCAGAGTCCCTTCTACTGGCCAAGGCTGGTCAATGTCAGGCCAACGCTTGCTCCTTTTCTCCAATATTTTTGGAATATTCAGGATATTTTTGGAAGAGGATTAGTCTTCTGCACTACATCAACAGGAGTGATTGCTTTTGTAATTTTGGTGTCCATCTTTGATATTACAATGACCCTCTTAGTTCCTCGTATTGTAAGTCAAACTGAAATAGTTAAAAAAAAAAACCTAAACAAACCTTGGCTCCCTATTTGGAGCACTACCCCTTGCTCCACCTCTTAAATTTCCTCAAGAACTTCCAGTATGAACTGGCCGTCAGAGAATGAGCATTGTGTCCAAACCCAGCGCAGTAATGCATAGAATTAACGCACACACAAAAAGCCAGAACCACCTATTTTAAACAAGACTATAGGCCTACGTTCTTTTGAACAGACAAAATTCGCAGCATAATGTGGTCACACACAAACAGACAGAAAGAGAAAAAGAAAAAATCCACACACCAATCAGCCAGCCATTTGAAACTTTATCAGGAGATTTTCTCTTCTCTTCTTTATTCTTTCCACCTGAATGTGTACATACTGTCCTTGCTGGTCTCTCCACTCCTGTTCAGACACAGCAAAGGCTCATATATTTTATCAAATGTATGAATGTCCTTTATTAGGCTCATATGTAACCTGAAACAAAAGGCTCATAGGTTGTTTTTTTTTAAACACTGATGAAGCACTTTAATAATACATCTATTCTATTTATCAATCACACATAAACAAGAACATTTCCAGATCATACACACCGCTACATAAACAAGAACATTACAAAAACCTCTAGACACGGCTAAACCACCGCGCAGCAAACAAAGACACAGGCTGTCCTGCAGCGCACATACACACACACCCCCAAAGACTCCAACAGCACACGCACACACACCCACAGGCTCCAACAGCGCTTAAATTGTATTGCTTCACACTGCATGCTCAATGCAGACTTTTTGTTCCTTTTTCAACGCACCTATTTTTCTCTTTTCACAAAATTCTTATTTTTCATCTTTATTTCATCTTTTCTTATGTTATACTTTTAATTTTTCCAATTCCCCTGGCCAGGGTTATTTCTCTTTTTTTGTTTTTCTACTCAAATTTGACTACTTCTTAAAGCCAACTTTCACTCCAGCAGCTAATTTACACATGTACTACCGTTAAGAAGATACGGGCCCTGTCTCCATTAATCTTGCATGGTTATTTAGCTAACTGTTCTTAGTTACTAATTCCGCTTATACTACCATTACCATACTACCATCTTTACTTTCAACTTTTCTCTTTTCACTATTTGTCTCTTCTTTTCTTTTCTTTTCTTTATTTTACTCCCCTTATTTTTTACATACTTTTTAACTCAATAAACCCCAATTTAGATAGAAAATCACTCCAAACATCAACACATCATCGCATCTTTAACAGTGCAGCCAGATAGCAGACACACGACAGCGTCAACGAATCAAACAGCTCCCCAAATGTGTGAAAAAAACCCTCACCCTGAAGCGATGGAGGAATAAACATGCTGAAGCTGTCGGCAGCTGCAGGAGGCCCCAACTGATCCTGTTCGCGACGCCAATATTTGTTGTTTCTCTCTGTCATTGATGATGTGCAGATGATGAAAAAATCTCCGTTGACACTGACTTGCTTGTAAATAATTGGTTTATTTACAGAGAAGAACAGCATCAATTCAGGCCCCTGGGTCGGCCTTTGAGAGTCACAAAGCCAATAATGATCTCTCTCGATCTCACAAGGACAGTCATATTTATGCAGAAATTACACACACCCCCACATGCGAACATCTGCTTCCTTTGTTCTGGGGGCTCAGAACAGCATACAACTTTTCCATATATGGCAATTCTCTAACACAGAGCCCCAATGCACACATTCCACTGGGTGGGCTCCTATACCGGTCTCAGATACAAACACTTTCCAGATGTTGTTTTGCACAACCTAAGAGGAGTCTATGTCCCAGATATTTCAGACACCTCAGTACCTTCAAACAGGCTGAGCAACACAAGGGTCTGACATAATGATATCCAGGTTGTTTAATGTCTGAAGAAATGTGAATTTCAACCCAAATGATTGGCAGTAAAGATCTGTTCCCCCTCCTCCTATTCCTCTACTTTACATACATTTTTAATAGGTTTGCACTGATGTTCTACATGAAAATATATAAAAATGAGCAGATTCAGGGTGAAAACAAAGCCATCTATTTCTCATTGAAATGTCTCACCATATTTTCTCAAATAAAAAATGCACTCAATGCTAATTTACAATAATATATTTGATCTCTTCTCAAAAATTTACTGACTAAATCCCTGATTTTGTAACATGCTTTTACCCCTGTCTGTGTGCAGATCAGTACAAGCTGTGTGTCAACAGGGGGTGCTGCCCCCACAGTGTGTTTACTGAGTAGGTGTAGTAGTGTGATTTTTGGACAAAGATGCATACAGTTCACTTCATTCTGCAACATTTACCTGTAATCTGATTTGTTTTTAATCTGATTTGGTCTTAAAGAATTGACTTTAACCTTGACTAGAAGGGCGAAAGTAAATGTTTTTTCAAGTAAATAAACATGTGTGGGCTGGTTCTTAGCAGTGATGATGTGTTACAACACATTATGGTCTAAAACACAACATTTGGAGAGCTGACAAAAGTACTTACAGTCTTTCTTTGAGTATAAGTACGTATCTTTGTGTTAAGGAAGACTATTGTAAAAGCAGAAGTACTGATTCTACTTATAAAATACAGGCTTTAAAATCCTCTCATTATTACAGAAAAAAGTTTCTCTTTGAGAGACATTTCTGTGTCTTTGCAAAGTTAACAGACCCTCATCTTATATTAGGAGACTATCAAACAAAAAAAATCACCTTCAACTTAACCACAACAAACAAACCCTGGGGATCATTGCCATTTTATCTGCAAGTTAGAATTGACTTTTTGTCAGGGGGGAGGACCTAAAAAGGGCATCAGAGTCTACAGCTGGCTCAGCAAAATAGGTCATCATTGCAACATATCAGCGCCCGTCGATACGGGAGGAGGGTGGAGACTCATCGTTTTTTTTCCAAAAATTTCAGGAGTGCATGTGTGAAAATGACTTAAGATGACTGTGATGGCAAATAATCCAAACACAAATCTAGCTGTAATTGTAGTCACAGGAATATATTATAATCTGTGGCTAAATGTCTGATGGGAAAAGGTGTCATACTTTGAAAAGACTTTAGAAAGACTGAAGTCCAACACCTTCTCCCATCAGACATTTGAAAGGGTCAATTGTATTAATTTTACGCCCAGAAAACATAATGTATAATATAAGTTTAATAAAGTTACAGATTTACTTAAGTATAAAATTGTTTCATAATAATTATGAAGTAAGTTTCAATAGGTGGGTACAATTTATGATGCATGAGTGTGGGTAAAATGGTTGACGGAAAGCGGTCCCTGAAAGGCAGTACATTTGCATATGTCCCCAAAATAACCCAAAACGTGTGTTTGTGTGTAATGGGTGAACAGGGGCGGGGCTTAGACTATTTAACTGAAGAGACTGTGATGTTCACTTCATACAGTCATGGGCCATCCTGGGATTTGGAGGTGGACCCTGTTTGTCTGCCTGAGCTGGATGTTTGTGCAGGCGGCAGCAGAACCGTAAGTTAGTTGAACTGTGAAAATAATGTGTGTATTAGCTCTGACTTTTCTAGAGGACGAAGGAGTAAAGAGCAGCTGAAGATGCGGAAAAGTGTCAGTGGAGAGATGGTGACCTAAATATCATTTGATAAGTATACTTGATTATATTTTGCTATAGCTTAATGGATATTGCTCATATCAAAAAGTGATTATAAAAAATTACAAAGTTAAGTATTTGGACCACTTAAACATACATTTAGACCATAGGAAAAGGTGTGCATTAAATATTTGTCCTAACTGTTAAATCTAGTTTACAACAGCACATTCAGCATTCTTTGCAGTCTTGTCCTTGTGTTGTATCTCAGGTCAATTTAATAAAAAAAAAGGAAAAAAGTTTGATCGGATTGGATCTTGTTTGATTGGATTGAATGTAAACCTGTAAAACTAGAGCACATTTAAAATTATTAATAGGTAGTGTTCTTGTTATATTGCAAGTTGTTTTGATAGAAGCCTTTGCATGTTCTTTTGGAGTCAGTCATCTCACCCCAGCAAAGACTTTGCACATTTCTGCCTGATGGATTGTAAACACTGTATATAAAGATGGACACCGCTTCCTTCCACTGTACAAAAACTGAAGCCAAAACACCCCCACCTGAGAACCAGAGTCTGTGCAGTTGAGATCAGCTGGTGGAATCTCTGTATTGATTTCTCGCCTCTTCCTCTAACGAAATCACACATTTCAAGGATAAGACCGTGTACACAATATTCGTCCGGAGTCAAGGAACTACCTATCCCACAATCCATTGTGAATGATATAGTTTCTTCTTAAAAGTAACTTTTGTCGTTGTTATCGTGTTTATACTGTCAATGCAAGTGTTGTACTAGCTCTTTGTTTGTTTTGTGGAGAATATAAACTACATAAACTGCGGCATGACGAGGTTATTAGTACATTTCGTGTTAGCTAACTAACTAACTAGCCGGCTAGTGAAACTTAGCTGTTGGCATTCGGAGCAGAGGAGCGGGAAACATTGCCATGGTAACAGCAAGCTCAACCAATCAGAAACACTATGGTAGTTTAATTCTTTGGCGTGCACCTTTTACTGTGTTTAACTGTCTAGAGTGCTCCTCGTTTGCTGTTTTTAGTGTAGTTCTTTGCCCCCGTATTGCGAATAAATCTTGGTTTTCTTAAAACAAGGTTAATATGGAAGTTGGAACCTGTGTCTCCTACAGGAGCATATACCATCATTCTACACTCGGGTAACTCGTGGTCAGTCTACCTTGGATGGTTATGACAGAATGGCTAATAATCAAATCCACTATAGAGAAAATGAATGGGATTTTTACTTCTGGCACAACAGTGTTTAGCTCTATGATAGAAATATTTGACAAGTATTTTGATCTTCAATGCGCTTTCTGTTAACATGGAAGAGGCGGAGCTTGTGGCCTATAATGCAGCCAGTCAGTAGGGGGAGCTCTAAATGTTTTGGCTTCACTTTTGGGGAACTATCATGTTGATCTTTTTATACAGTCTATGGTCATATCACAAATATGTCTTTAATTTTGTCTTTTTTTTTAGAATGTGTATTTCTTTTAGATTTTTGTATTTTCATAGTGTTGTTGTTCAGCTACTTCTACAGAGAAGAAATTAGCAGCTAGCAGAGCTTTGCTTGCAGAATTTCATTTAAGTTCTCCGGTCTTGTATTTGAGTACAATCTTGTTGTTGTAGTTCCTTCTTTTTAAGAGTCTGTGGGTAATCTGTACATTGTATTTTTCTGTTGCTGCAGGCAGTACCTGGTAGCCGTACCTTCAGAGTTAGAAGCCGGGGCTGAGACCCAATTCTGTCTGAGTCTCCTGCAGCCCAACGAGCCTCTGCTCATCACCGTCACGCTGACCTCCGAAGAAGAGGAGACAATCCTTCTAAAGACAACATCCAGCGTGGAATTACATGAATGCTATACGTTCCAGGTCAACTCTTCAACTTCTTTCAGTACGCTTGCATACACAGTTTAGTCAAGCTATGGTTACAGCTTAGGTCATTTAATTGGACTACTGTCCTTGTCCCAGTACACTGGGGGAGAATCAATTTGTTGTGGGAAGTATGTCCTACTTTATAAATCCCCCTTTGAGATTAAGGTTACTATTGGACCTTCTTCCGGTCGACCTATTAGGTCACATATAATCGACAAATACTCAAATACTCAAGCAGAAAAATGGTTTCTGAAAACATGGACAGCTTTACAGCTCTATACATTTCAACTGAAAACTGTGTTTCCTCATCTGTCCAAAAGACTCAAAGACATTTTTAAGAAACCTAAATTCTTGTCAAGGGTTTACACCATTTTTATTTATGCATAAGCTCCATAGAAACTGATGTACGTCATTGTTTCCTTTGATTCACTTTTCTGGTGTCTTTATTTCCGCCACAGGCTCCTTTAGTGAAGAATTATAAACTTCACAATTTCAAGGTGAAGGTTGAAGGCGATGAATTCCTCTCGGAAGAAGTCAGGATGGTATGGGTCAAAGACAACGGACAGATGACGTACGTCCAAACAGATAAACCGCTCTACCTACCAGGACAAACAGGTAACAAGAGCCCGACAGAGGGGATCTGTGGGGAGGGGAGCAACATGATGATAACTCTGTTTATTTATAAAGCACCTTTAAAAACAAGAGTTTACAAAGTGATTTGATAACATAGCCAAGCAAATCACACAAATCATGAAAGCAAGCCAATATCAAAATAAGGCGATGACATGGATGGATGTTGAAGTCAAATCTTTGTGTATTACATTTAGCTAATAAGCAGAGCTCAAATACATACCATCAAGAATGCTCTCTCTTTCTCACACACACTCATAACATCCCCAACACACACCAGGTACCACATATTCCCTGTCAGCTAGAAGTCTGCAGATATTTCCAGCCAATATTTCGTTCATATATTTTGCGATAAGAGGGGGGGAGACCCATTAAACAGACATGCCTGCAGTTTTTAACAGCCCTGGATTTGGGGAATAACCTAATGGCTCTGCTCTGTGCGAGTGTGTGCAGTCGTTTGTCCAACGTTTCAAATCATGACAGAAATTCATCCGACCATTCAGTAGCAGCAGATCAGGCTGTGGTTGGCCCTTTTTCCCCCCTCACAGCAAACGACGACATTGAGCTGAAATTCAGTCCGACTTAGAAATCAGCTGTGTGACTCAAATATTGGGTCAGAAAGGGCCTCAGTTTTGCAGAGTATATGCCTTACCCAAGGAAAACACAAAACTGTGAAGGCAACAAAAAGGTAAATTGATTAAGGCTTTGATTGTTTGATTCCCTTGTTTTTGTGATTGTTTTTTCCCCTTTTGCATTCTCTTCAGTGCATTTCAGAGTCTTCACTCTGGACCACAAGTTCAGACCTGCTGATGAGCTGGTGAGTGTTTGAACTGTCTGGTCTTTGCGTTCTTTTGGACCTGATTTCATTCAAACAGAGAGTACCGTGTAATAGTGAGTCACTGCACAACTTGGCACCAGGTTACAGAGAGCAAAGTGAAAGCTTTACAACAGTGTCACTACACAAATGTTTCATCAGTCTGTTGGATAACGACCACTTTTAGATCTGAGCTGGGTCAATTGTTAAATCAGTAAACATGCAAGTGGTGAAGGTCCTTTTATATATTTGCAGACGCTCTGACCTACTTACTCCCACACTATGTTTAGCTGCAGAGAATCCAATTTAAAGCTGCAGAAACCTTTATATAAAGAGAACATCAGAGACATGAATCTTGTTTTTGGAACCATCTTTGGAAGTTTAACTTTTTGTTCAACATTTATACTAATACACTTTTGACTGTATTCTGATATTTTGACTCTATTTTTACAAAGTTCAACAGTCTCTTTCCCCTTATCTGGACTCAATTTTCTAAAAGAAAAAGCCTTTTATTATTTCTCATATCTAGCTTTAATGCTGTTTTGTACATTAATCGGATTATGAGGTTTGTTTTTTTATGATGAATCTTGAAAAAGCAGTGTGACTGCAGTGACTGATTGTAGAGGTGAAACCCAAAGTAGCTCATCTTTATCACCAAACAAGTGTCTAAAATTATGAAAACAAGAATGGGACTCGTTATTAATGCTAACTGTGTTGTTGTACAGCATTTAAAAATCCAGTTTAGACCTTGAAATGTTCAATTTTTTTTCGGTTCAGTGTAATTAAAATGCACATCGAAGAATTGTATTTGGGGCGGCTGTTCTCGGGGTGAATTATTTTTTTGTTGGTAAATTTACTCTTTACATTTTTTTTACAGTACAATACCATCGAAATAATGGTAAGATGAAATTAAGCTCACTGTATCCTTTTTTGTTTTTACATGCAGGACAACGGATTTAAAATCCATAATAAATAGTGACTGTAACACTAACCACCAGTGAATAAATCCTCTTTCCTTTAAATGTATTGAACAGGATTCAAAGCATAACCGGCTCAGGCAGTGGATGAACACAACGTCTAATGGAAAAATATTGCAGCTGTCTTACTCCTTGAACTCTGAGGCTTGTGAAGGAGATGGAAAGTTCAAGTTGGGATAGGTGAAAGAAAGATATATCACATATTCAAGGTGGAGAAATATGGTAAGTAACACCAGCTACGCAGGCAAATAACAGCACCATTTTTAGATCAACAGAGGATGCTTAAAAACATTCTTTGTTTTCAGTTTTGCCAAAATTTGATGTAAAAATAAAAGCGTCCAATGAAATATGTGTTGGACAGGAGGAAATCGAAGTGGAAGTCTGTGCAAAGTGAGTAAGACACACTTCTACTTGTCACATGTGATTTAAAAAATGGGGGAAACTTTCTTGACAACGCACCAATTTCACTCAAACTTCCCATCCAATCAGATACACTTATGGACACCCGTGCCAGGAAGTGTTTCGTTTAAGACGTGCCGACCTCTGAAATCACCGTTAAACTTGATATCACAGAGCCGTGCTACAAGGAGACAAAGAAGGTGCTGTTACAGCTTCACAAAAAAAAAAAAAAGAAGAAAAAAAAAAACATGACGGAAACATTTTTATTCTGAAATCAACACGTGTTTTGGTTACATCAGTCATTCAATGGGTAAATGATCATTCTTGGCGATAGCAGCAACTCTATGTTTTAACGTGCATATTTTGGTTGTATAGACAGAACAGAACGGCTGTGCCAGGTTTAATTTCGACATGTCAACTTTCACAAAACTGGATCCAAAGGCATTGTTGGATGAACTGTTAATCAACGCTGTAGTGAAAGAGGAGGGAACAGGTAAGCTCCGTTATCGTATTTTCAGAACCATATGGCATTATATTGTTGTTAGATGACTTCCTTTTGTTGCAGGTATTGAACAATCACAGGGGACAATGAGGGAACTTTCTTATGTGGTTGGAAAGTTGTTCTTTATTGACACACCCAGGTTTTATGATAAAGGATCAATTGTGGAAGGAAAAGTAAGAAAATAATAATAATTATTATTTTTCAATTTTCGTTTTGATGAATACAGAACAATTGTGCATACTTCTGCATTTTAAGAAATACATGTTTTGTCTTACTTCAGGTTAAAATGGTTACCTTCAAAAATGAACCTGTTCCGGACATGCCGGTCTATTTGTTGCATGATCGGTGGGGGATACAGAACCTCACGACTGACAGCAATGGTATCGCCCCTTTCACACTAAATATGACCAACTTTGAGAACAACGTCTTTCTCAAAGTAAGTGTAAAAAAACAACAAGGAAAATATAGTGTTAAAATCTGAAAACTTCGTAAAGTTTTGAAGTTTGGTTCTTTGAAAATCATGACGCTATTTACATTTTGTTTGGGTCTCTGTTTGGGATAGAAAGAGCCATCAGCTATGAAGCAGGCTATAATGGCTAATATCTTTATTTAAGGGCAAGCGTCTCGGCTCAAAGTTCGCTCAATCAAAAATGCTTGTTTTTGCTGCTGACAGGCTGAGATTAAACTGTTGACAGAAAGGATGGCTACCAAAATGGTAGAGCTCAAACCATATTCTAGTTTTGTTGTTGTGATTTTTTTTTGGGCTTTTTGTGCCTTTAATGAAGAGATAGGACCTTGGATAGAGTTGGAAATCAGGAAGAGAGAGTGGAGAATGACATGTGGGAAAGGGGCCACAGGTGGGATTTGAACCTGGGTTGCCTGCTTGGAGGACTATAGCCTCCATACATGGGTCAGGCGCACTAACCACTGCCCCACCAGCGCCCCTTGCTGTTGTGATTTTAACACCGAAAGATTAAAATCCAGAGAAACAAGAGGCCATCATCCAAGGACAAACAACTTCACAACACATTAGCTGCCGTTAGATTGCTGAAAATGTCTGGGTTTAAAAGGCGACATAATGCAAACCTCTGAAAGCCCCAAAAGACTCAGGTATGAAAAATAATGGTGCCAATGCCATTGGTCAAAAGTCAGTGGCCTGTGGGCTGAATGATTTACGTCCAAGTGATGAGCACATCAAGAGGGGGTGTCATGACACCTGTCAATCATTTACACTACAGAAGTGAATGGAAGACGATGCTGCAGGATAGTGGCTGCCATATGAATGTGGTGATTTCCTAATTTAAAACTCTTATTTAACAAAGTACTTATTAAACTATTTGAATTGCTAAGCATTAGCCACGATAGCTTACTCCAACCATTGTTACTTACTAATATCACTTCTTCTTTACTACCCAGGCTAGCCTGAATGAAGACCCAGAGCAATACAGTCGCTTCAAAGGTCCACACTATAAGACTGGAAATCAACAACTTTCCTTGGTGTTGCCGTCTTCTCCTGATACTAAATCATCCAGCTCTCTGAAAGTGAAGACAAAGAACGACCAGCTTCCCTGTGACAAAGAGGACTACTTTTCCATCCTCTACACTTTTGTGGGAGATACCCGAAGTGCAGTGGATGTGATGTATCTGGTGAGTGGTGGTGAAATATGTGAAATTGCAAAAGCTTGGCCTGTGGCCTGTTGCAGCAGCTCTGTATACTGTAAGTTGTGTCTTAAGTTATGGTATGAAGTCCAAACTAAACCCTGTGTGTTTCAGGAGATAATGAAGCACATCAAGTGTGAAATCAATGTCATGTAGGCGTCACTCATTAATTGTTTGCACCACGAGGACGTCAGATTAATCTTAACTTGTAAAGCGTTACATCCAAACTAACTTAAATATTGTTGCAGAAAATATGTTTTAACTTCATGTGACCAATCAGTGAAAAGCATTTTTCTTATTTCAGTGCTCCCAGTTCTGCTCCCAGTTTATCTTTATACCTCATACTGAAATACAGACCACATTAAGGTTAATGTCAAACTTTTAGTGCATTGATTGGGACACTCACATATTGATTAATTGTTTTGGTGTCAGAAAAGCTAGATGCTAAAGGC